CTAGATTGTAGGCTATTTAGTTTGTGCCTTACCACTCTTGGGGATCCTTTAAGCATCTAACACTTGCAGAAGGAAAGAAGCAAGGGAGGGACCCTGAGAAGGGTGTAGGATCATTTATCTGATTCTCCTTTCACCCCTTGATAACATGAGTGCATCAAATCATTGCTGCCTCCACCCGAGTTGTGAGACTTCATTCTAGGGCTGTGAGCCAAGGTGTCTCCATTCGCTCCCATTTGAGTAGAGTCTGAGTGCTCAGCCTCCCTAAGGAATGGAAGCCTACATCCACTTAAGGGTCTCACTTCAGTCTCAACTTAATATGGTTTCATATTAAGTTCCCAAATTTGCTGCTTGCTGAGCTGAACCACAGCATCACTAGTCTTGTATCCTCCTCTCTATTCCATCCCTGCAAGAGAAGGAGTTTTTCCGCATTTAAGTTCTGCAGTCTGCCTCCTGCCTCAGGTGTTATTATTGCAGTTTATCACTGGCTCCTTCACTGATGCCTTGGTTGACCCTCTCTGGCTTCAGTACTTTAGTGGGGCCCTATGCCTTTTTGCCATGAGATTGTGTTATTTTATTGGAAACTCTGGCTTTCCTACCATAGCTTCTCTGGCCTGTGATTTGTTTTCCACCTTAGTGTATCCTGGATATTTTCTTCTTGCTAGCCCACAAAAGACCTCCTGTAATTCAGTCTGTACTTCAGAATCATAGCACACCTGCAGGACCTCTATTCTCCTTGGGTCTGGGCTTGCCACAATCATACTGATGGAACTTGGGCTCCGCAGGAGTATGTATCAGAAAGGCTGGATGGGGCTTGCACAAGCAGCTTCCCCCCAGAGCAGGACTTGCCACCACTGTTATCTCTTGACTCTGTGGCCCCTCCTGGTGTTTCCTACCAGCATCAACCAATCCTGCAGCTTCTACACCTACTGCTGGTCCCTTCCCATCCACTGAGTGAGGTGATGTTTCTGGCCTCAGACCCAACTCCCCAGCTTCTTGACCGCCAGCAATTTGGGGAACTTTATTTCCCACCAGCCTGTCTCCAGCTCAGACCATAGCTTGGTTACCCCCAGCCTTTACCTGACCAGCATACCTGGACATGAGGCAGCAGGAGACTATGCCCCCACGCTTACATCTCTCCACTGTCCATCTGACTTTAGTGTTCTTTTCTTCTCTCTGCAGTTTCGCAGTCAGGGCCTTCTCAGCCTTGCCCCCTCTCTCTCCTAATAACCCATTCAAGAGCCTGAAGATTTCACTCTTCCCAAGTCCCTGCTCATCAAAGTGTCTTTCAACTTGGGTTACTGTTCCTGTTCTTATATTATTATCTGGGCCTTCTATGTTCAGGACAGTGTTGCATCCCTCTCTGCAATGCAGTACACTCCTTTTTATTCACCAGAGAAATTCTTCACTGGAAGATACAGAGTCTGGGGAGGTTAACATTCAAGTAAAGGCAGGGGCAAAGGTGAGCTCTTAGTCCTCAATATACCCTCAGTTCCTAATTCAATGTTCAGCTCCTGGAAGGTGCTAAATAAACATTTGCTCAAAAAATGAGAAAAACAATTCTCAGAATTTTATTTCTATCCATTTTTTACATGTTATCTGAACCTTGTAACAATACTGAAGACAGGTAGGGAAGGGATTTTTTTTTAAATATTTATTTTTTAGTTGAAGTTGAACACAATATCTTTATTTTATTTATTTATTTTATGTGGTGCTAAGGATTGAACCCAGGGCCTTGTACATGCTAGGCAAGTGCTCTACCGCTGAGCCACAACCCCAGCCCCAGGGAAGGGATTTTGATCTCCCTATTAGAGATGAAGAAGTATGCCCAGAAAAGTAAAGGACACACAGGTAGTGTGTTGGGGAGAGGATGTGAACTTAGGACATTTAACGCCAAACCGAATTCCTTTGGCCTATACCAAATTATCTTCTTAAGAGAGGCGTGGATACTTCTTGCCCCCTATCACCACCCCCTAGCGCCTACATTCTCATGCCTTCTCCCCACTGAGCCAAGTAGGCTTTTCCCAGCAACCACTGAAGATAGAACATTCCCTGGCCCCCTTGACCTCCTCCTCCCCCACACAGAGTCCTTAGCTCCTAGGACTGAGAGCTGAGGTTCAGAGGGGCCAGGGAGAAGAGGGGGAAGGGTAATGACTAGGTCCAAAACAGCCCAGGCAGCTGTCCCTGTCACAGAGAGAGGAGACTGTATGACTTTGTGTATCTGTCTGCCTGAATGTGGGAGCACATGTGTGGGAGAGTGTGTCTGTGTGCCCCTCTCTCCAAGTCCAAGTGCTTATTATGTCTAAGTGGGGGCCTGTGTGTGTCTGCACATGTGTCTGTCTGTCTCTGAGAAAACACAGCCTGAACTCTGCTTTCTTAGTTTCATCTTTTACTCTGGCCCTTATCCCTCCTCACCCTACCTCCCTCTGCTGAAACAGAGGATGAAATCAAGACCAAGGTATGGAATGCTGGGGGGAAGGGGAGTTTGGAAAACTGGAAGTCTGGAGCTAAAGTAAAATGAAAGAATGAATGGCAGTGATGGAACTTAGTTTTATCTACAGGTAAAACCCACTTTTCCTCTTTCCCCAGCCTTGTTATTCCATAACTCCTGGAAAAAAATGAGGGACATGGTTTGCATTTCAAGATCATCTTGGGTCTGAAGAAAGAGCAGACTTCAGAGCACCCCTTTTACAGCTCTTAGTTCTAAGCCTTTTTCTCTCATCTTCCCAGCTATTTGGGAAAAGCTACTGATCAGCATCGCCATAGATCCTTCCTAAGGACATCTCCCTTCTGATGGAGAATTGCTGGGCCCAAGTTTTCCAGCTCCAAGCCTCTGGCTCCTGACCTCAAAATTGGAAAGTGAAGTGAGCTGAACACACCTCCACTCCTGTCCTGAATCTGTCCTTCTTTCCTGGGTTCCCTCTAGCTCTGCCTCTCCAACTTCAGTGATAGGTCCAAGGTCTAGACCCATTTGACTGTGGAAAGAACAGGAACTCTTTCTCAACCTCTTTCCTTGACCTCTGTCCCTGGCTTGGGTGGGGCACAGTTGCATTCTTGGAGCTGGTTGAAGGGGCATTAGCATGTGCAAATACAGGCTGCTGCCCATCTGTACCTCCTTGAGAAAGGCTTCTAATAAATTCAGAACCAAGTGACACTTCTCAATCTGGGCTAATCCACCCTCTTAATGTCACCCCATGAAGCCTCTGTTAATGGTGTTGGGGACAGAAAGACCCCTCCCACCCATATCTCTACTCCATTCTTCCTTCTATCCTTAGACTCCTTCTGTTCTCCTCTAAGAAGCATCCAGATTCTTGAGCCCTATTAGTGCCCCTTTCCCCATTATAAGGGTCCCAGGAGAGCCAGCAAGAAAGGGACCCTGCAAGGGAAACTTGGAGAGGCAGGTTCCTGGGCACTATCAGGAATTTGGGATAGGAAATGCCAACAAGAAGGGGGTCTTAAGGAAACCATTGTACTCCTTGGAGTGGGCTTGGTAAAAGCTAAGCATGAGATAGAAGTATGACTAGTGGTATGTGAGATGTGTTTGAGCATGCAAAAGAGTAGACAGGGCCCAAGAGTCCTGTTGTTTTCAAACTCATTTTTGATCTTGGAACCCTTTATCCAAATTAAATCTCTTCAGAAATTATAAATGAAACAGACAAAAGCAGAGCTTCCCTAGTTGAAGCTGACTCAAGCATGGCCAGGATGGAGTTCTAGCTGAATCCCCAAGGGCCCCAAAGAACACAATTTTAAAAAGCAAATGAAGGAAAAGTATTAGTTCAGGAATCCCACAGACCTGGTTCAGATCCTAATTCTACTGCTTACAAGCTCTTTGACCTTTAAGTTACTTCAGGTTTCAGCTTCCTCATCTGGAAAAAGGATGACAGGGGTTGAGCATCCCTAATCTAAAAATTTTTAAATCTAAAGTGCTCTGAAATTATGGTACATTTTAGATTTCTGATTTTTTGGATAAGGGTATGCTCAACTGATATATCTAAGCAAATATTCCGAAGTCAGGGCTGGGGATGTGGCTCAAGCGGTAGCGCGCTCAGCTGGCATGCGTGCGGCCCAGTTTCAATCCTCAGCACCACATACAAACAAAGATGTTGTGTCTGCCGAAAACTAAAAAATAAATATTAAGAAAATTCTCTCTCTCTCTCTCTCTCTCTCTCTCTCTCTCTCTCTCTCTCTTTTTAAAAAATATATTCCAAAGTCAAAAAACAAAACTCTGAAATCTGAAACACCTCTAGTCCCAAGCATTCAGGATAAGGGATACTCAACTATATTAACTACTTAATCTTGATGTATTCTTGTGAGGGGAGAGACAGTTAAAATAAGTGATAACAGTGATTATTCTTATGGATGAAATATCATACCTGGTTCAAAATAACATCTGTCGGGGCTGGGGATGTGGCTCAAGCGGTAGCGCGCTCGCCTCACATGTGTGCTGCCCGGGTTCGATCCTCAGCACCACATACAAACAAAGATGTTGTGTCCGCCGAAAATTAAAAAATAAATATTAAAATTTAAAAAAAAAAAAATAAAAAATAACATCTGTCCTAAGGAAGATGAATAACAGAGGTTCAGGTTGTTTCTCAAGTGTGATTGGCTGAGGTACATGTATGACCATATGGGGATAAGGAACATTCCGGTGAGAAGAAAGTGACCTTTGGAGGGATGCAGTATAGGGGATGTGGTGTGTCACAGCATGCATTTTGAATATAAATATTGAACAACAAATGTGCACCAGGCACACTTCTATGTGCTCATCAGTTAACAAAGTATAGTGTATATGTGTGCATAAAACCTCTCAGTATACACCCTTTTCTCCTTGGGCCCTGTCTCCCTGTTCTATCCTAGGCACGCTAGTCAGGGGTAGCTCTTTGTCAGTGACCAAGAAAGGGCCAGGAAATTTGTGGGGAACCCTACAAGGAACCGGCTTATACCTTGATTTTATTCTCATTAACTTGATGTGTGCTTTCTCTTCCATCCAGAGCCCTGGCTCCATGGAGTTCGGGCTGCTCAGCGAGGCAGAGGCCCGGAGCCCTTCCCTATCGCTGTCAGACGCCGGCACTCCCCATCCTTCGCTCCCAGAACACGGCTGCAAAGGCCAAGAGCACAGCGGTGAGCACGCCCCCTCCTGGGGATGTAGGACATAACAACTCAGCTTCTAATCCGGTGTGACCCTGCCTGGCCGCCTGGGTGGGAGCAAGCGGGTGGTTGAGGAGGTTCCAAAACCCGACAATTCCCTCAGGCCTGGACGCCCTGTGACCTTACTCTCCCCCGCCATCCCCAGACTCGGAGAAGGCCTCTGTCTCGCTGCCCAGTGGCTCTCCCGAGGACGGCTCGCTGAAGAAGAAGCAGCGAAGGCAGCGCACGCACTTCACCAGCCAGCAGCTGCAGGAGCTGGAAGCGACCTTCCAAAGGAACCGCTACCCTGACATGAGCACGCGCGAAGAGATCGCAGTGTGGACCAACCTCACCGAGGCCCGCGTGCGGGTACTGCCTACCTGACCCTCAACCCTCACTAGCCTGGGCCTCCCTCCTCCAATCCCCTCCGCAGCTGTGGTTCTGAAGTCTGCCTGCTCCACCTCGAGGCCAACACCCGACACCCCGTGTTCGGAATCGGGACACCCCCATTCCTGCCCTCTAACCTTCAGTCTCTGCTTTTACCGTTCTTTACCACTGGCGAGCGCATGTTGCTTCTTCCCCGACCCGATCTCTTTGTTTCTTTCCTTTCCCATCTTTGATCCATCTTACTGTTCCCCCAGACCCTGAGGCTGCTGACTCTGTTCTACCACCCACAGTTTCTGTTCTCGGGTGCCTGGCCCCGTGCGCTTTCAACCTGTCCCCAGCCACCTCGTTTCGTTTATCCTCCGCACGTCTCGGGCTGGGACCTCAATCCCCGCCTGGGTGCTCCACTTATCAACCACTGGGCTGGCCCCCAGCCCCATCCACCCCGAATCCTAATAGCTTTTCTCCCACGCCCGCAGGTGTGGTTCAAGAACCGACGCGCCAAGTGGCGGAAGCGCGAGCGCAGCCAGCAGGCAGAGCTGTGCAAGGGCGGCTTCGCAGCGCCGCTGGGCGGGTTGGTGCCGCCCTATGAGGAAGTGTACCCCGGCTACTCGTATGGCAACTGGCCACCCAAGGCGCTCGCCCCGCCTCTCGCCGCCAAGACCTTCCCGTTCGCCTTCAACTCTGTCAACGTGGGGCCTCTGGCATCGCAGCCCGTTTTCTCGCCACCCAGCTCCATCGCCGCCTCCATGGTGCCCTCAGCCGCAGCTGCCCCGGGCACTGTACCAGGCCCCGGGGCCCTACAGGGCCTGGGCGGGGCCCCTCCCGGGCTGGCTCCGGGCGCCGTGTCCTCTGGGGCAGTGTCCTGTCCTTACGCCTCGGCCGCAGCAGCCGCGGCTGCAGCCGCCTCTTCTCCCTACGTATATCGGGACCCGTGTAACTCGAGCCTGGCCAGCCTGCGGCTCAAAGCCAAACAACACGCTTCTTTCAGCTACCCCGCTGTGCCCGGGCCACCCCCGGCTGCCAACCTCAGTCCGTGCCAGTACGCAGTGGAACGGCCTGTATGAGCGACGGGAGGGTGGATCATCCCTTTGGGCGGGGTCAATAATTCACAGCTTGCCCGGACTGGGGTCGTCTAGACTGGTTTGCCCCCGCCCCAGTGTCTGAGAGGGGTTCACGAGCAGCTGGGAGGCGGATAGCTCAGGAGCACTCCATCCCCTTCACGGCTCTAAGGGGTGAACTGGGCCCTACAGGCAGATCACGACCCTGGGACTAAGTCCTGGAATAGGGACCAGCCCCCCTGGGCCAACTCACCCTTGGCCCATCCCGCCTTCTCCAGACTCCCTCTACTCCGTTTTCAAAGATAAATGAAATAAATGTGCGCGGACTGTCAAAGGCCTGATGATTCAGAGTTGCGGTTGAGCCCTCATCCCTTCAACCTCCCCCATTGTCTAAAAGAAATCTGGATGCAGAGGAAGGAGGTGAAGGTCCAGGCTTCTGGGGCTTCAGTCCCATTCACTCCCCTAAAGAATGGGGAAACCAGGACTCCTGGAGCAAAGGTGTGCACGCGTATGTGGAGTTGTTGAACCAGCTACTGCGCTGGCATCGGTCAAAGCTGGTGCTGCGGCGCCACCTCGTGGTCTCAGGGAGAACAGCTGGTAGGTCTTTCCAAAGTTTGCAAGGGTCAATTCTGCAACTTAGGAAGCTTAAGACTTTGAGATAACGTTACTCCGCCTTTCTGCACCCGTTTTTCACTGTTCCTATGAGGGGCTTGAGCCTCTAACAGCAATAAAATTATGGTCTGTAACAGACATTTATTAAGTGCCTACAGGCCTAGGATTGTTATTGTCTGTGTGTGTGCCTCATCCTTCCTCACACCCCTCAAGCCTCCTACCTGCAGATCACCGTATTACCAGCAGCCTTCTCCCATCACAGGAGCCCACTTCTTCCTCCAAACCCCTAAGCTCCATCTTCCATTTGGTTTGCATGCTTAATTTAAAAATAGAACAAAAGGAGAAAGATTTCTGGATAGAAATATAAATAACTCAGCTCTAGGAGCCCATCCAGTCCTAGTGCCTTCCCAGGGCCTCCTTGGCCTTCACTCATTCATTAAAGTACTAGACCACACCCTTACCCCAGGGTGACACTTCTTGTCTGTGATAACTTCCTGCCACCTTGGCGCACATTTCCCATGGGGAAATAATGCAGGGAAATCTCCCTAATCATTCTCCCAAATCTAAGCCCAACCCCTTAGTACCCTTTTGGAAGAGGAAATCTAAGGCTCTTTCTCTCCAATCTTTCACTGACTTTTGGCCATGGCTTTGACCTTGGGCCTGAAGTAGGTTTGTCGGAAGAAGTGGGCAAAGATGATGAAATAGGTGGCATACAAGACAAAGGACCAGGCGAATTCTTCCACTGTGATGTAGCACCCTTGTTCCTGCCTCCAGATGAAAGTCAGGATGCCAATGATGGCTCCTATAAACATCTGCAGGATCTGCAGGCTGGTGATGAGCATTGAAAGCATCCTGGGGCACTTCACTTTGGCAGCCTTCAGAGTGTAATAAGTGTACATAATGGCATGTACACCGAAGTTCATGGTCATGAACCAACCACCTGAAGGTACTTTGTTCTTGTATCCAAAGCTTGTGAATAGTAGCACTGTGCTGTGGTGGTACCAGTGCACAAAGATGAGTGGTCGCTTGCGCAGGATGATGAAGGCTGTGTCTCCTGGGAGATAAGAAGTCACATAGCTGGCAAACCTTCCAGTGCTGGGACCACCCTCTACATTGGGTGTAGGGGCCCAGGAGGAATTCTCAGGGTGGGGAGGAGTTTTCGTGGCAGAGAACCTGAAGAAGGGCTTAGGTGACATGTGTTGTTAGGACCTAGGGGTGGGGAAGGTATTCTCCATATGATGAGTGAGGGGAGGGCTCTGAGGAAGGGTGTGATTCACTGGGCACCAGAGAGACAAAGTCTTGTCACTCACCGAGTTCAATGATCTTGCTGAGAAGAAAGACACAGGACCAGAATCTGATTGTGGCATTTTCAATGTAGTTGGTGAAGCACACAGTTTGCTTCAGGCCCCCCCTAAGTAGCACAGTCCCCATATAGCCCCATGTTCTCACTGCCCCCAAGATACTGAAATGGAACAGAGAAAGAGAGTGTAAGACATCAATCCACCCTTTCCCCTAGCTTGACAAGGTCATTAAGTCTTGTGCTCCATCACCTCCTTACCCTTGCAGGGGGAACAGATCACAGATTCTGAGATCCTGGAGCCAATTTGAAAGATTCATCCAGTATTCCACAGGAAATGAGGGTTGGAAAATACCAGGGAATGTGAAGGGAGCTGAGACTGAAAGTAGAGTTAGTGTTCTTGGGATGGGGTGGAAGCCTAAGAAGTGAGTAGCAGTTTGGGGAAAATCAAAGGATTTGGGGGAAGAAAACATGGGAAGGAAGGACTGGGATAGTCTTGGAAGAGGGTGTTAGTTGCTGATAGTATTAGAGGCTGGAGAAATATATATATATATATACATTTTTTTTGGTACAGGTAATTGAACCAAGGGGTGCTTAGCCACTGAGGCACATCCCAAACCTTTTTATTTTTCATCTTGAGAGAAGATCTCACTAAGTTGCTTAGGGCCTCAATAAGTTGCCAAGGCTGGCTTTGAACATGTAATTCTTCTGCCTCTGCCTCCTAAATCTTTGGGATTACAGGCATGTGTCACTATGCCCTACTGAGGCTACAGAGATTTGGAAGTACAGATTCCATGAGTGCAAAAGGGATGGAGCAGAAATTGCCAGGTTGGGGTCTAGAAAAGAAGGAAAAGAGGGCAATATAGAAGAAGGTAAAAGTTGGGAGTCAATAAAACTGAGTTTCTGGAAAGTTTTAAGGGATGGAATGGAGGTCTAAATACTAGGTAGGAGGAGGGACTACCTTACCTGAAGATTGCAAGGCAGAAGGACCAGAGGATGAGAGGTCCCTGCAGGTTGAAGCCTTTCCGATCCTTCATGTAGTTCTGCCCCACAACAATGAGCAGCAGGTATATCAGAACTATGAAGAATGAGGTTGTCCTGGCAGGCAGAAGGCAGAGATGGGCTAAAAAGTGGCTGTTGGTCAGAGGAATGCCCACTCATCTCTCCAGGTTAATGTCTAGATTAGAGTTCCAACTCTGCCACTTACTAGCCATGTGATATTTTGGTTTTCTTATTTGTAAAGGTGGTGGGAGGTCCTCTCCTGACCATGTTAATTATAACACAGGGTAGGGGCTATATCCAAGGTGATTATTGCATTCTTTATTAGGCTGGAGACTGATGACCATTGGCCCATGACCCAGGGCTGTGGTGTAAGAATGTGGCAATAGCTTCTGCATTGGTTGGTTTATGGCAAATTGGCTTGAGCACAAAGTCAGCCCAAAGACACCTCTGGGGTAGCTTTAGGGCTAAGCCAGAGAGCCCTGGGAAAGCTTGGAAAAACTCCCTGGTTTTGCTTCAGTCTCCACAGAAAAGATGATGGGGCTTTTAGGGAGCATGATAATTAAGTAGAGCAGGTCGGAGGGGTTCTAATCAACCTCATTCTTCAGCTACCCGTTCTCTCTACACTCTTTCTTTGGCTTCTGTCTCTTCCCACACCCTGCTCCCCATACTCATTTCTGCATCCTTTCTTCTAGCTCTAATCTCTTCGAGGTGCCACACTACCTGCACCTTGGACAATGATGGGTTGGAGCTAGTATGAGGGATCCTATAACTTTGCTCTTTAAGAAAATCATTGCTGGCCTTCAGCCTACCCCGAACCCTTGCCCGGAGCACACAGTAGGGTCTGCCCACCGCACACACACACACCTGGCCCTTCCCCATTCCCAGGTCTCACCAGTATTCTTCTAAAAAGGGCCTTAAATCCTGGAACATCTCGAAGTTATAGGGCTGGAACAGTTGCCCCACTTCGTGGGAAACATTCATAGCTGTGACCATTTGGTTCTGCAGGCGTCCAGGTCCAGGGCTTGGAGGGCTGATAAAGAGACTGCGGGGCCGAGGACAAAATGAACCTCAGAGCGGGACCGAACGCAGCCAGGACAGAAAGAAACTTCCTGGGAGAGGCAGGAGGGGCTCGGAACCGGGTGTGAGCTACAGACCAGCCGGCTCGCGCCGCCGCCGCCGCCGCCGTATATAATGCGAATTGGTGAACTGCGGGCCTGACTGTGCTCCGGCCCCCTCCCCGCGCTCGGCCGTTATCCAATCTTGGCCGAGATACGCCCTGGTCCCGCCTCTGGGCCGCACCCTTCCCTGCATCCATCATCCCTGAGGGCCCCGCCCCTAGGCTCCCGCCCCGCCCCGCGAGGCCCTGAATCCTGTAGTGAGCCCTGGCCCCAACCACTTTGCCACCCTTTTCTCCATCATCACTTCCACTGCACCTGCTTGGCTCATCCTCCACGGCCTCGCAGAGAACTCAGCCCTGCCGGCCGTAACCTTTGACTCAGCTTGCTTTAATCTTAACCTTCTTGGCAGTGAGAATAAAGTGGAGGTGTCCTTGGCCATGGTGCCCTCACCCAGAGATGGGGGAGGCAGTTTCCAGGATCCTTGAGATAATGGGAAAAATCGGCGTGGGATGAGGAAGAACTAGGCTGCGCAATGAAGAGCTCCTGTAGTCCCTTCTGCCTCGGAGATTTGGATCTCTGGTTGTGGGTGGAGGGAAATGAACTTTAATCAATTTCATTATTGAGACTGTTGATGTTGATGTTTGAGGAGGCGGTTGTTGAAGCTGTTGTGATTTCTTTATAGTTTCCTGAATTCCTGAACTGCTCCTGTCTGACACCCAGTAATAACCTTGCAGAGGAAATGGGGTCACCCCCTGGGCTTCTGAAATTATTGTGTTTGGCTTTCCCAAAGGTCTCCTAGGGTTCAAGGAACCAGAGATCTAGTGCATCTCCCCAAGGCCTGCTGTTTTCTCTCTTCAGTCTGTGCTTGTCTAATAAAATCTAATTCTTTTCCCCCTATGTGCCCAGTCCAAAAGAAAGAAATGTTTTAAAACTTTTAAGAGCTTACCTGGCTATTCCTTATTTCTCTCCTACACTTTATGAAAACAAAAGAGAACTACAAGACTTGAGGCAGTTAGAGATAAGATGGAAATTTGCAAGGCAAGTGCTAAGAAAAATAAATACAAAATAGTTAAAATCAAGATATGTAAATAAGCAACTATGCGCAGTAAAGCCCAAAGGCTCTGAAACTACAGGAGCCAGGTAGAGATCTAATTCCACTTCCCTATCTATGGAAGGGTGGAGTAGAAAAATTCTGTCCGTGCTATTTAATTGACCCAAATGTACATTCTTTTCTCTCTGCAACTCATCCCCTTTAACCTGATTACTGCAACCACCACTGTAGTCACCTTAACTGGCTGTACCACTGCCTTCTTTAATACAGTGCTTCTCTTTTTATTGCACTGAAATCAGAAAAAAAGTTCCCAAACCTAGCTGATTACCAGATTCCTGAGCCCCTACCCAAGAAATTCTGACTCCATAGATAATCCCAGACAATACTTTGAAAACTAACACTTTCTGTCCTATTATCCAGAAAATGATTGACTAAAACCTAAACTAGGTCATGTTGCTTTTCAGTGGCTTCAGTGGCTCCTGATTGCACCATTAATTAATTGTTTTATGTTGCTATAACAAAATGCCTGAGGCTGGGTACTTGATAAATGAAAAACAACCAAGATCTGACAGCCATACCAGAGGTTATTCTGGCTGCGCCATAACATGGTGGATGGCATCTCATGATAGGGGCACATCTGAGAGTGACCACATAGTGAGAGAAGAAGCAAAAGAATGGGGAGGGGCCAGGCTCACTCTTTTATAACAATCAACTCTTGTGGGAACTAACCAAGCTCTGCAAGAACTACATTAATCTCTATCAAGGGCCCCCATGATCTAATCATCTATTAAAGACCCCCACCACCTCAATACCGTTACATGGGGGTACCATGCTCCTAGCAAATGAATTTCTGGAAAACTCACTCAAACAATATTCAAACCATAATAACAGTCTACTTGTTATGAGATCTGAGTTCAAGTCCCAGTGCTACCATTAACTATTGGCTATGTGATTTTAGGCAAGTTACCTAACCTCTCAGATTAAATATTCTTCAACAGCAAAATGCAAATATTTACACTTGCCTACCAAGGTTGGTATCAGTTTCCAATTCAGATAATGTCAGTGACAAGATATTATGGACTAGACACATGGAAGTTGGAAGTTTACAAATGCATAGAGAAAAGGTACTCAGTCTTGGATTTCTCTCAAATGAAACTGTGTTATATTTTCTTGTGTGAAAGTTTAATGAGGCTTGGGGGAGGTGTGTGTGGAAGAAGGAAAGAAAAAGGAAAATTTTTCAGAAACCTTCCCTAACCTTTGAACTTGGTTTGGTACCCCTATTACTGCTTTCATAGAATGCTATTTCTTTCTTTCAATGATAATTTAAAATTACTTAGTTGTTTTAATGATTTATTGATCAATGCCTGTTTTCTCTACTAGTCCTTGAGATCCATGAATGGAAAGGGTATTTCCATTTTTACTTAACATCATTCTCCTAACACTAGGCACATAGTGTATATTCAAGAAATATTAGTTGTGTCAGGTGCAGTGGTTCACATCTGGAATCCCAGGAACTCAGTAGGTTGAGACTGGAGGATTCAAGTTTAAGGCCTGGCTCAGAAAATTTAGCAAGGCCCAAAACAACTTTGTGAGACCCTGTGTCAAAAAAAAATTATATATATATATATATATATGTGTGTGTGTGTGTGTGTGTGTGTGTGTGTGTGTGTGTGTGTAGGCTAGGGATGTGGCTCAGTAGTAAATATTGTCTGAGTTAAATTCCTAGTGAAAGGAAGGAAGGAAGGAAGGAAGGAAGGTTGGTTCATTGCATGAGAGATTATATGGAAGAAATCCTCAGTCAGAAAATCTGGGTGATACTCTTTGTTTTTCCAGGATAAATATTCCAAGCTCATCTTCTCCTGAAAGAGTCAGCAGAAAGGAAGAATTGGTAACCACAGCATGGTGCAAGCAAGATGGACAACTCAGGGTATGGCTTTGGAAGTTTACATAATACTAGTCACTTAACATATTAGGTGATGAGAAATAGCTGCCTACTATGTCTATGCATTCTCAGTCCAACTTCTTTCCCCATTTTCAAACATTTATTTGAGGGTTGGGAGTGTGGCTCAGTGATAGAGTGTTTGCCTGGCCTTTGGTTTGATCCCTAGTACTGCAAAAAGAAAAGAAAACCGTTAATTTGACATCTCCAGTATATTTTGGTAGCATTCTCAGCAAAATTTTAAAGATGTTGTTTTGAAGGTTCCAGTCAGCTGGCCCCATTGATTTAGGCTATTCTTCCCAACTACCATTTATCTAATCTCCCAGGTTAGGAATTATGTTTTTTATTCTTCCATATGACACAAAGTTCTATCATTTCTTCTAGAAGTGGCCTGGTCATTAGGATGTCTCTATGCAAACTGGGTGTAGTGGTGCAGCATGTAATCCCAACTACTCTGGAGGCTGAAGCAGGAAGATGGCAAATTTGAGGCCAGCCTTGACAACTTAGTGAGACCCTGTTTCAAAATAAAAAATAAAAAGGGCTGGAGACATAGTTCAATGATAGGGTGCCCTTGGGTTCAATACTGGTTCCATTCCCAGTATCGGGGGAAAAAAAGGTTAAAGATGGTAAATGTTATATTATGTATCTATAACTACAATATTTTAAAAATATTTTAAGGGAGAGTCACAAAATAAGTGTATAGTTTTAAATAGGAAAGATAAAGAGTTAAATGTACATATTACACAAAAAGCTTATTTATAGTCTCACCTATAACCTTTGATACATGGCTAAGGACACAAACAGGCTCATTTTATGTGCTCCAGTGCCTTCAAATGTACTGCTCATTTGCTGCCATAAAGGTACACTTGCAAAGCACATAACTTTATGTCCCTAGTATTGAGAGAAAAAAAAAAGACTCAACTTCCTTAGTAATTAAGGGAATGCAAATTATGGACTACGTATAGTATGTTCCTGATTAACAGCTATTAAATGAAACAAAAATTAAATACTGAACGCTGTTCAAAGCACTGAGGAACAGATTTATTAAAATTTGGCTAGTTGCCAGGATAATTGATATAATCCTTCTGAAAACACATTTAGGTAATACTTAGCAGGAGCCAGCTGGTTTTAACCCAGTGAAGTAAACAAAAAAGAAAAGAGAGTTTGTATGTATTAAAATACTTATGCCAGTGGAACTTAAAATAATACAGAACTGGAATCAATCCACAAATGGATAATTAAATTATTTAATACTAATGTCACAGAACACCTTATATCTACCAGAATGTAGAAACATGAAACTATATTTATAAAATAATATGAAATAAAAATAATATTTAAAACCATATCTACTATATTACCTCAATTATCTAAAAGTTATGATGTCTGTAAAGATGAAAGTTGAAAATAAACTCTAAAATGTGAAATAATTTGATAGGGTGGGTGAGGTATAGGCCAAAACTTATAGGTATTTTAAATTTCTTTTCATGTTTTCTTTTTTTTAAAAAAATTTTTTGGTAGTTGTATATGTACAACATGCCTTTATTTTACTTGTTTATTTTTATGCAGTGCTAAGGATCGAACCCAGTGCCTCACACATGCACTCTGCCATTAAGCTACAGCCCCAGCCCTCATGATGGTTTCTTATATTTGTAGATGGACACAATACCTTTATTCATTCATTCATTCATTCATTCATTCATTCATTTATTCATGTGGTGCTGAGAATCGAACCCATTGCCTCACACATGTTAGGCAAGCCCTCTACCACTGAGCTACAACCTCAGCCCTTTTCATGATGTTTTTATGTTGATGTCATAATATTTTGGAATGCTAGGCATTCCAAAAGTAATGCTTTATTTTTTATTTTGTTTTATTTTTATTTTTGAGATGGGGTCTCCCTATGTTGCCCAGGCTGGCTTTAAATTCCTGGACTCAAGTGATCCTCCTCCCTCACTCTCCTGAGTAGATGCTACTACAGGTGCATGTCATCACACCTGGCAAAAGTGCTTTTAATGACAGGAAATTCTCAAGATGTAAAGTTAAGTTTTTAAATGCAGAACATGAGGCTATATTATAGTATGGGCTCTTAGAGGTATATA